ATCATACAGAGTATTTTCAATGCCCTAAAAATCCTCGATGCTTTGCCTATTCATCTCTTGCTGCCCCCAACCTTTGGCAACCTCTTATCTTTTTACTATCTCCTCAGTTTTGCCTTTTCCAGAGTGTTATATAGTTGGAAACATACAGTATGTAGCCTTTTCAGATTGGCTTCTTTCACTTGATAATATGTACTTAAGATTTCTCAATGCCTTTTAATGGCTTAATAGTTCATTCTTTTTAGTGCTAAATAATATTCCATTGTCTAGATGTACCACAGTTTATTTATCCATTTACATACTGAAGGACATCTTGGTTGTTTCCAAGTTTGGGCAATTATTAATAAAGCTGCCATAAATATCCATATACAGGTTTTTGTGTAGACATAAATTTTCAAGACTCCTTTGGGTAAATACCAAGCAGTGCAATTGTTGGATTGTATGGTAAGAGTATGTTTAGATTTATAAGAAACTGTCAAACTGTTTTCCAAAGTGGCTATACCATTTTGCCTTCCCACCAGCAGTGAATGAGAATTCTCATCGCTTCATATTCTTGCCAGAATTTGGTTTTGTCAGTGTTCTGGATTGTGAACAGCTTAATAAGTGTGTAGTGGTATCACATTGTTGTCTTAATTTGCATTTCCTTGATGACATATGATGGGGAGCATCTTTTCATATGTTTATTTCCTATCTGTATATCATCTTTGGTGAGGTAGTCTGTTAAGGTCTTCGGGTCATTTTTTAATCAGATTGTTCTCTTATTATTGAGTTTTAAGAGTTTTTTGTTTCTTTTGGATAATATATCTTTATCAGATGTGTATTTTGCAAATATTTTCTCCCCATATGTTCTTTTCATTCTCTTGACAGTGTCTTTCCCAGAGCAGAAAATTTTAATTGTAATGAAGTCCAGCTTATCAATTATTTCTTTCTTCAAATGAACCTTTGGTATCATACCTAAAAATCGTTGTTAAACCCAAGATTATCTAGATTTTTTAAAAATGTTTTCTTCTAGGAGGTTTATAGTTTTGCATTTTCCATTTAGGTCTGTGATTCATTTTAGTTCTTTTTTGTGAAGGGCAGGTCTGTTGTAGATTCTTTTTTTTTTTTCTTCCTTCCTTTTTTATTTATTTATTTTTGCATTTAGATGTCCAGTTGTTCCAGCACCATTTGTTGAAAAGACTATCTTTTCTCCATGGTATTGCCTTTGCTCTTTTGTCAAAGAAGATCAGTTGACCATATAGGTCTATTCCTGAACTCTCTATTCTGTTTCATTGATACAGTTATCTATTCTTTGCCATTATCACACTGTCTTGATTCCTGTAGCTTTATAAGTCTTGAAGTCAGGTAGTGTCAGTCCTCCAACTTTGTTCAGCTCCTTCATGTTTTTTATTCACTCTGCCATCCTCTGCCTTTTAATTGGTGTATTTAGACTATTTACCTTTAATGTGATTGTGACTATGTTAGGACTTTACTTTTGGTTTTTTGTTTTGTTTGCCCTGTTTTTCAGTCTGCTGTTTTCTTTTTCCCACCTTCCTATGTGTTACTTGAACATTTTTTTAAACTCCGAGTTTTTCTTATTGATAATGTTTTGGAATGTATCTTTTTGTATAGCTTTTTTAGTGGTTGTTCTAGGTATTACATTACTCATATATAACATACCACAGTCTATTGGCATTGACATTTTACCAATTCAAGTGAAATGCAGAAACCTTATCTTTATTAATTCCCTTACTTCCCTGTTTATAATGATCTTAATTTATACATACTCACATACATTGATGACAACATTAGACAATGTTATAATTGTTGCACAACCATCAGACAAAATTTAGAAAACTCAAGATGAGAAGGAACTTCTATTTTATTTACCTGTATTTTTACTCTTTCCATTTTTTGTTCTTCCTTCCTGACCTTCTAAATTTTCTTCTTTTATCTTCTCCATTCTGTTTCAAAAACTTCCTCTAGCCATTCTTAGAATAGGTTTGCTGACAACACATTCTTTCAGTTTTATTGGAGAATTTCTTAATTTTTCCTTCATCCATGAAGAACATCTTCACTAAATATAGAATTTTAGGTTGGTGGTTCTTTTCTTCTAGCGCTTGAAAATGTTAAACCCATTAATGATCTCTGGTGGTGTCATGGTTTCTGATGAGAAATCAACCATCATTTGATTAGCTTTTTTCCTATAATTAAGATGTCATTTCTTTCTCTCTCACTTTCCTAAGATTTTTTTCTTTGCCTTTAGTTTTCAGAAGTTTGATTATAATTTTCTGATGAGAAATCAACCATCATTTGATTAGCTTTTTTCCTATAATTAAGATGTCATTTCCTTCTCTCTCACTTTCCTAAGATTTTTTCTTTGCCTTTAGTTTTCAGAAGTTTGATTATAACGTGTCTTGTGGATTTCTTTGGATTTGTCCTGTTTGAGGTTCACTCAGCTTCTTAAATTTGTAGGTTTTTGGCTTTTGCCAAATTTGGGGAATTTTTGGTCATCATTTCTTTGAATATTTTCCAGCCCTACACGTTTTTTGTTCTCCTTCTGAAACTCCAGTGACACAAATATTAGATATTTTCATACAGTCTTACATATCTCTGGGACTTATTTAGTTATTCAGTCTATTTTATCTCTGTTTAGATTGGGTAATTTCAATTTTTCTGTCTTCATGTTCACCGATTTTTTTTCTCTGTCCTCTCCATTTAACTGTTTTGCCTATCCATGAAGTTTTTAAATTTCAGTTATTATATTCTTATGAATTCTTATGAGTTCTTATGATTGCTGCTTTAAAAATCCTTGCCAGATAATTCCAACATTTGAGTCATTTTGGCGTTTGGCATGTTAATTGTCTTTTGCCATTCAAGTTGAAGTTTTCCTGATTCTTGATATGATAAATAGTTTTTCAGTTATGTCTTGGACATTTTGGATAGTGTGTTCTGAAACTCCAGACCTCATTTAATCTTCTATTTTGTCAGGGCTTCTCTGACACCATGCCAGTGGGGAAAGGTGACACTGACTCATTACTGCCAGGTAGAGGTGAAAGTCCAAGTTATCTTGGACTCTGTTGACACTCAGGGTGGGAAAGAGGGAAGTGATACCTCATTAATGCTGGGGGGGTGGGTGGAAGTTTAGGATCCCCACTAAGCGTCAACACTACCCTGGCTGGGAGAAAGAGGGGCACCTTGACACTGCTCCTCACATAGCCTACACTGACCCTTCAAGAAGATGGGTCAGTGGTGTTAAGTCCTGGCTGTCCATGAGACCTTCTAATATCCTCAAGTGGGAAAGGTGAGAGGTGCCTCATTACTATTAGGCAGGGGAGTAGAAGTCCAGGCTTCCCAAGTGGCCTTTAATGACACTGTGGGAGGAGGTTTTCATTAATATTTGGCAGTGGTGAAAGTCCCAGCTCTCCACAAGACCTTCTCTGACACTATCCTAGCAGAGAGGAGGAGGAAAACCTTGTTATAACCAGAAGACAGTGGAAGCCTTTGCTGATAGGGGCGGGGAGTGAGGGTGGGGCCATAGTTTTATCCATGGTGCTTGGCTAGAGCAGGGCAGCTATTGTCTAAAAGTTTGTCTTGGGAGATTGCCTCTTTCCCAGTCCTTTGGCTAGAGAGAGCAGGCTTTTGTTGAAGCTTTTGTCGGTATACCCATTAGTGTTCTGGATTGTAGCTTCTGCAGCACCCAGTTCAGGATAGATGAGGCAAAAAGGAAATCCAGAGCATTGACCACCACATTGTTACTCAGTTTCTGAGGTCCATAGAGTATCTTCCCTCTTCTTTCCACCTCTCAGAGTTTTCTTATGTTTGTTTTATATATAATGTCCAGGGTTTTAGCTATACTTACTGGGAGAACTAGGGAAAAGTGCATCTCCTCCATGTTGTATGAAATTAAAACTATTATTTTCATGTGTTCTAGTGTGTCCAAAATATTTTATAATAATTTTTAAAAGATTAGATACTTATGAAAGTTAAACTATTCTTTAAGGTTCTTGGGGCACAGTGATCCACCCTTTGCCTCCCAATTTCCCCAGCAAAGATTGTCCCCCCCCCTCACTTTTCCCTGCTTGGCCTTGTCCTCCCCTCCATGGTTCCCCTGCTCCCCTCCCACCAACTCCAAGAAAAGAACTTTAACCGGCTCCTGTTTGAGAACAGGGCTAGCTGGAAGACAAGAGCCAATAGCAAGTTACGTCCAAGTTTGTGTTCTGGGAAAGAGAGCTATTAAAGGTGGTTTTGATATTTTAAAAAGGGAAGTCATTAGAGAATTCCGACATTTTAAATATTTAACAATTACTACAGTAGTATGTGGAGGCTCCTGTTCCTACTAGTTGTCATGCATAGGAGACTCAGAAAAGAGACCATTTACCAATCCAAAAGGATGTATTTCAGTGTTTTAATAACCAGGACAACCTTATTGGCACATGTTAGCTGAATACCAACTTGTCTATAACTACTCAATAGGTTTTTCTCTGCAAAAGGCAGGGAATGAAACCACAAAGATGATGAAATTTGTTTAAAAACATTTCTAATGACAAGAAGTACATAATCAGAGTTAGGGAAGGGTGAAATAAAAGAATTATCTGATACTCTTTATTCCTTCATATTGCTAAAGCAAGTCAAGAATGCCCCCCTCCAACTACATTAATTAATTCCCTTTGAGAGATGTAGTTGATATCATGTTTGTCACAAGTTCAATGAAACTCTATAATTCTTTATAATCAGAACAAAATAGTTGAGTTCTCTAAAGTATGCACTAATGTCATAATAGACACATTGAAATTTTAAGAGCACAATTCCAGTTCAATATATCCAAAAATCATTATGCACATAGCAATGCAGAGATCTTGAGATATATTGCCATCTGATATTTCACAGCAGGAAGCAGCTGGAGAATCATTTATAGCGATGGGAAAAATTGAAATGACATTCGTAAAAGCTAAGAATAACTCACACTCTTGAGATATATTGCCATCTGATATTTCACAGCAGGAAGCAGCTGGAGAATCATTTATAGCAATGGGAAAAATTGAAATGACATTCGTAAAAGCTAAGAATAACTCACACTTAAAAAAAACAATTAAATAAGGACACTATTCAGAAAATCACTAAAGAAATTGATTGAGAGAATTAAGCAGGAGGAACATTCTTTTGTAGGTAGTTGGCTGAGTGAGAAACAGCTGGGATCCATGGCCAGGTAAGACAAAGGACTGGACATTATCAGAGCGAGTTTTCCATGTTAAAATCAGATGTCAAGCACTGGTCTACTTGCGGCCCTGAGGGATTGGAGGGAGGGTGGGTTTAGTATTGGAACCTGGGCGACTGATGATTGAGATGGTGTGTCTTCCATGTTGGAGTGGCCTTTTTTCATGTGAAAATGATTGTACATGTAGTTCTGTAAAACATTAAGAAAAAAGGATACAACACATATAATTAATTCCTTGGTACCCTAAACAAAGAAAATAAATACTGCATGATGTAAGCACCAGAATAATTTTTATAATTCATTCATGACAAATTGTAAGGAATGAATGACATCCAAAGAAGAAAAACAGGGGGTGAGGTCAGAATATATCACATGCACGGTTGGACAAGCTTAGGTTATGAAGAGTTGCCCAATGACCAGAAGGTTGCTACAGCAAGCACTTACTATGCTACTCCTCCACCCTGCTCACACCCTCTGTAACAATGCCCCACACCATACTTTTTCAGAATTATACACATGCAGATTCAGGACACACACACACACACACCCTGAAGTCCTTCCTAGAGAAACTTCATCTAAGTTTGGAAGACAGATACTGAAGGTAGAGGCAAGGTGGCCATACAGAAAGGAGAATTCTCACTGGTGAGAAGGCAGCGTAGCAGGGATTAAGAATGTGAAGCACAGACTTCTACAGGAAGTGATCTGTAAGATCAGAAAGACTAAATCTATTGGCCAAACCAAAGCAATCCAAAGTAAAAGGGAAAATTGAGCTTTTTTAGGTATACTCAGAGCAAAAAGGGCACACAGATGGAGGAGAAAATATCATGTTAAAAGAGGAGAAAGAAAGTGATGGATGGATGGATGGATGGAAGGAAGGAAGGAAGGAAGGAAGGAAGGAAGGAAGGAAGATCCAAAAATCAATTATGATAATCCACCACATTGACTACAACAACAAAAACAGCAGGAGGGAATGTCATGTGATCACTCAAATAAAGCTAAAAATGTATTTGAGATAACTCCACATACATTCATAATAAAACTTAGCAAACTAAAAGAAAACTTCCTTAATCCAATAAAAAAAAATCTTTTAAAAAATCATGATAAGCATCAGATTCAGGGTCAAATATTGAAATATCGGGCCGGCGCGGTGGCGCACTGCTACACTGCGCCGCTTGGGAGCGCGGCGGCGAGGGTTCGGATCCCACTACAGACCGGTTCCCGCTCACTGGCTGAGCAAGGCGCGGGGGCAACACCGAGGGTTGCAATCCCGTTGCTGGTCCCCGGTCCGGTACGGGGGCAACACTGAGGGTTGCGATCCGTTGCCGGACACGGAAAAAGACAAAAGACAAAAAAAAAAAAAAAGAAGGACAAGAAAGCTCCTCCATATTTGCTTTTTTTCTTTCTTTCTTTCACCATGGAGATGTTTTTTAAACTGGAAATGATAAAGCAAACATTTTAGAATAAAGGCCCTGGAGAAGAAAAAAGACAGTAGAAGAATAGGTCTCTTTTCTCAATTAGTTCAAATTTCCACAACCAGATAAATTACATCTCAGGACGATGAAATTACTTACAGAAGTAGTTTTAGAGAATCTGGCCTTTGAGACTTCATTGGCAGTGAGAAAAGTACTGGAGACATATAATACTGCCATTTTAAAAATAGGAACAAAGATTTACAAGCCAGTACATCTGACTTTAAAGCTTAGCAAATTTCGGGCCGGCCTGGTGGCGCACTGCTACAGTGCGCCGCTTGGGAGCGCGGTGGCACTCCCACCAAGGGTTCGGATCCCACATACAGACCGGTTCCTGCTCACTGGCTGAGCGAGGTGTGGGCGCAACACCGAGGGTTGCGATCCCATTGCTGGTCCCGGTCCGGTACGGGCGCGACACTGAGGGTTGCGATCCGTTGCCGGACATGAAAAAAAGACAAAAAGGAAAAAAAAAAAAAAAAAGCTTAGCAAATTTCAGTTTATTAAAGAAATAACCATGCATTTAGAAAATGCTGTAGAGAGTGAGGGGATGAAAGGGATTGCAAAGAAAAATTATTTCAAATTAACTTAATTTCCCTTTTACTTTGGCAGGCATCAACAAACTGTGGCCCATAGGCCAAATCTGGTCTGCAGCCTGTTTTGAAAGTAAAGTTTTATTGGAACCTAGCCCATGCCCATTCATTTACATATCATCTAGGGTTGGTCTCACTCTACAATGGTAGGTTGAGTAGTTGCAAAGGAGCCTGTATGGCCCCACAGAGCCAAAAGCATTTACTGTCTGACGATTTACAGAAAGCTTGCTGACCTCTGAGTTAGAAAATACCACTGATATAAAGCATCTCGATTTCTGCAGGGCACTTATCAAACTTTCTTATGTGAATACACTAGTGAGATGTGAGTAGGAATCACATACCAGGTGGACTGTCCCTGGAACTGAGTTTCCAGAGACCTGTCACAGGACACTACTCTTGGACAAGTCCTGGGTCTTACTGTTGACAGTGACTATAACAAAGGCATAGGTGGCATGCTTGTTGGCCTTATAGATTTCAAAGATGTATAAAATAGTGAATGTGGAAGACGAATCAAGATCCAGAATGATCTACTCAAGTAGGAATGTGGGGCCAAAATCAAAATTATAAAAAGATGAAAATAGAAGTTGCATTGATATATATCTAAAAGAACCAACTGTACATATATTAGATTGTTTGGCAGTTCATGTGAAAAAGATATGAGAGTTTACCTGACCCAGAGCCAGTAGTATGATGTGGTTTCTAAGAAAACCACCATAGAAGGACATAAGCAAAATGGCAGACATGGCTGCACGCCCTCATTCTCATATGGAAATATTAAATAAATAGAGACTAGCTAAAATAACTTTACAGTAGCTCTGAAATCATTAAAGATCCTTGCCAACCAAGTGAATGCCCAACCGAGAAAAAGCCACATTCAAAATGGTAGGAAATTTCACGGTGTTTTCACTCACCCTTGCTCCACCTTCTCCCCAGCACAATGCAGTGTAGTTTGGGGGAAGCACAGTCGGCCTTCTAGTTTCCTTCTGCGAGCCAGAAAGGGTAGAGCAGATCTAATCTGCAACATTCTAACCTGTCTAGGGGGTGCCTGACTGGCCTCTGTATCACCTAACTCAGAGTTCAGATGGCCAAAGAGGCACAGCTGAGAGCTCAGACTGGGGAAGCCACAGGAAGCAGTGGACAGGGCTCATGAAAACCACAAGGAGGCTACTAATTGAGGAAAATACAATAGAACAGCTAAGGCCCCAAGAAAAAGCAGGGGTAAGACTCTCAATAAAATTAAGACATTTAAAAGCAGCTGTGTATACTGAGGAAATGGGAAAAAATCACATCCACAGGCCCAGGGAAAACGCATAATGAGAAAATGCCTGAAAATGTAGGCCTTCAAACAGGGCTAATCCTAGGCTAAGAACATATCCTTCTAATTAGTGAAGGTCTTCCCCTGCCCTGGAGATCGCAGCCTTGGAGAGGTGTCTGATTTTTCAAATGACCAACTTTGAGAGAGAGATCACAAGGCATACAAAGAAACAGGAAAACATGGCCCATTCTAAGGAACAAAATAAATCCACAGAAGACATCCTTGAAGAAAACCAATGTAATCTTCTGCTATGTGTGTAAAAATGAACAAAGACAATACCTAACAGGTATCTAGCACTTTACTTCTTACACCATACCTCATCTTATCTGGTCCTATATTATATATTACATTATAATATACATATATATGTTATATAGTAATTTATGATAATACTACATTATTATAGGACAGAAGTTGTTATTCTCAAGGCTCAAATGTTAACTGATTTGCCCAACATTATTCTGCCAGACAATGTAAAAATGGAACTAGAACCCAGGTCTTCTGATTCTTAATCTAATGCTCTTTCCACTATACCATACCATTGATAACAACCCCACTTTACTCTGGCCAGACTCTGTCTGGAATGCAGTGTTTGACTCTAAGTATCCCATTTAAGGAAGGATAGAGGCAGAGGAGACAAAATGAGATGAGGGACGTCTAAGAACACTGTCCTATGGGCCAGAACCATAATAAGCCTTGGTGCCTTGTTTGGCCTAGTGCTCCTGGGTCCTCTCAGGACTTAGAGTGGCAGGTCACAGCCTTTAGCAGTTCCTAGAACATTTTCCAGTTCCTGTGAGATGACATAAAGATCTACTTGGGAATCTAGGATTATTTCCTGGACCTTTGGTCTCAGAACTCTAATCCTGATTGCTTGTGTCCCTCATGAGTAAAATCCTTGAAAATGTCTTATTTCAGCCAGCTATTCTGGTCAAATACAACTACAGCTGAAGAGGAAGTCTACTTTTAAATTGGTTCGAAAATGCTTGCTTCAGTGGCCTCTTCCTTTTGGAGATGCCATCCACTGTGTCCTTTTGTCCAGGGCAACCTAAGAGGTCTATATTCTTTTTCTAGTTCCTCTGGTCACTTGAGCAAGCAGGGGTTCAGGCAGAACAACATCTTCTGGGTTCGGGCAGAATATCCCCTATGGCTACAAATGGTGTCATCCTCCTGGCCTCCAGGTCCTAGACAATTTCCCCATCTTACTCATTCCTCTAAAAATTACTCATAGAACCCCACCTTCCATGCTGCCACCTGGGTTACTTTTTCCCATTGCCATTCTCAACTCTAGTCCTTCAATTTCCCCATATTGTTCAAGGTCTTTACTCAACGTTATTTATGAACATTGCCACTGAGCCCAGAGAGAAAAATGCAGTGGCTGTTCTATCTGCCTGGACATTTACATTCATATGTGCGTTGGGGAGCAGGGGGCAAAAAGAAGGTGAAACAGAGGGGCTGGGCCACATCCTTCAAGCCTTAAACCATCAGAATCCTGCCAACCCCACCCCTCCAGTAGAAGACTGGATAGCAGTTGGGAACCCTCCACACTTGTCTTTCCCTTTACTGAGCAGGGTCTAAGTCACCCAAGACCTCCTCCAGAGAGTATGTGGCCCTCGCACCAGACCCCTGCAGGTAGTGCTGCCAGGTGGGCAGAGCAGCAGCTTCCACTCTAAGTAGCTAAGTGACCTTGGGCATATTTCCAACCTTTCTGAATTTTGTTTCTCATCTGTAACAATGAGGGACAAAACGACGCACTCTACCTCAGAAGGAGATTCTGACTTAATACACTTATTTAATTTTAAAAAACCAAACAAAACAGAAACAGTCAGAAATACAATAAGAAACATATATGAGTAGAATATGTATTAATACTTATAGAGCCATATGTAAAACAACTCATACCTTTTAGGGCCTGATCCGTCTCACCATCACTTACTCCGGATCCTGGGCGTGAAGAAACGCTACCCTCTGGAGGCTGAAAAGGCAATTCTCTTGCCCATGGACAAGACTGAAAGAATGCAGAGTATTTCATGGAAATATAGGACTCCTTGTCACTGAAAAAATGAAAAACGAAAGATCTTTTTGAGACACAAAACTACTAGTGTCCATACAATTCATGCCTATGACTTCAGTAGTTCGCAAGCTTGTCTCTGTTGAGCTAGTTTTAAATGATTATCTATTACAAGCACTGCAGAGCAGTGGACATATCTTAAAGCATATTAAGTACTGAACACATTAGCATAAACTTCTCATCTATTATACAAAACGTAACTGAGTGTCTACTAAGAGCAAAGCATCATGACAGGTGCTGGAGTATAAAACAAGACGAATAAGGTGCAGAACCTAATTTCTAGGACTTTAGAATCAAGTGCAATTTATATATGGCAGTTACTGCTATTAAGCATAGAAAAAATGAAAGCATGTTAGGCAGCCAGATCTGGACCCCACATTGGGCATATCTAACGCTAGTTTTATTTTTTTTTTCCTTTTTGTCTTTTTCCGTGTCCGGCAATGGATCGCAACCCTCAGTGTTGCCCCCATACCGGACCGGGGACCGGCAACGGGATTGCAACCCTCAGTGTCACACCCGCACCTCACTCAGCCAGTGAGCGGGAACCGGTCCGTATGTGGGATCCGAACCCTCGGCGGGAGCGCCGCCGCGCTTCCCAAGCGGCGCACTGTAGCAGTGCGCCACCGGGCCGGCCCCTAAACCATTACTTTTTGAAGAATTCCTCCCTTTAAACACGGCCCAAAATCTTAAGGAAATAAAGGAATGCAACTCTCATGGCAGATTTTTAGGCATAAAAATGGGAGAGATCTAGCAAAGTTTCTTCACTAAATGTTGAAGCCACGCCATGAGTTTTCCCTGACTCAGTAAGGGGGACAGTGTTGGTCCCACATCATGGGAGACAGACGTGCTCCTCCTCTCCTCTCCCTGACCCATGCACTCCCTACCTCCCACCTTGGGACCCCAAAGTCTGTTTGAACTCTTGGCCCTTTTCTGTTACTCATTCACCATGTCATTTGTAATGCCAGCACTGAGTAGGTTCAGGGATGCAATGATGAAGCGGAGATCTAGACCTGCCCTCATTCCATGGACAGTCTTGCAGCCTTATCCAATCACATACATACTTTACAAAAAAAAAAAAAAAAGTGTAAGTGCTATGAAGGGAAACACAGGATGCCATAAGACGGTACATTAGGGATTCCAGGACAGCTCGCCTTGAGGAAGTGACATTTTAGTTAAGGCCCGAGGGATGAATTAGCCAAAGGGAGAAGGTCTTTAAAAAAAAAAAAAAAAAAAAGTGTAAGTGCTATGAAGGGAAACACAGGATGCCATAAGACGGTACATTAGGGATTCCAGGACAGCTCGCCTTGAGGAAGTGACATTTTAGTTAAGGCCCGAGGGATGAATTAGCCAAAGGGAGAAGGTGGGGTGGAGGTTAGAACTGGAGAGGATGAAGGAGACTGTTCTAAGTAGAGGGAGCATTGTGTCTAAAGATCCTCGCTGTCAGCATCTAAGACAAAGACAAGGAGTAGATACTTCAAAAGTAGGAGATTTCTGGAGTTTTACCACCATTGGGCATTGGGGAAAGGGTGCTGCAGCCAAAGTGATGTGCATCTCTTCTGAGATGGGTCATGGGGGGCTTGTTCCAAAGCATGTTACTGTGCCTCTCAGACCAATGACTCCAGGGCCAGAGAGCGGCTGATTTAAGCATTTTATAGACTGTGCCCTCGACCTCACCAGCCATCTCACTAATGGGTGCCCACAGTCGCTAGGAGGTCCTCAGAGCAGGATCATGCTGAGGCCAAGCAAAAAAGTCCCCCTGCCCCACGCACACACAAAAAGAAAGATTTCCAGTTAACAGCAAGTGTCAAAAACGACAGGCATAAATGTAGGCCAACCCCTCAGACAAGGAATTGAAATGTGAATATGGGGCCTTCGCATTTTTAAAAGTTTAATGGGGTTCCTTTTAAGATGTAACAGAGAATATGAATTCTCTGTTGGAGATGCTGATATGTCGTGAGAGGATTTAGCAAATATGAGGTGGTTTGGGGAGAAAGGAGAAAAAGCAGAGAAAAAAGAAACCTCTGGTAGAAGGTATTTAAAATCACACCAAAAAAGATGTCTGAACTAATTGTTTTTCATTCATCATAGACCTTTCTGCATTTCTGGTGTTTGTCTCATATGTGTCTTATGTTTTCAGTTAGATTCTAAGCCTTACAGACAGTATAGCCACGTGGTTTAGCACCAAGACTAGAGCCTTTTGGCCTGGACTCTGCAACTTGTTAGCTATTCCCTTGGACAAGTCCCTTAACCCCATTAGTTAACTTGCCTCAGTTGTCACATCTTTTAAAATGGGGAAAATGACAGTATTTACCCTCATGGGGTGGTCGTTAGAAATTAATATGTGTGGTAAAATAGCATATGTCACATTCCCAGAACAGGAACTGGCACGTAGGAAGGGTTATAAAGATCTGCTGGCTTTGTCATTCTGCTCCTTATATCCCATGCACGTTCATGCTTTAGTTCAATAGTTTGGGGTTGACTTATCTTTACGCATTGTTTTTCTTCCCTTAAAATAAAGTTTACTAATTGTTTTTCATTATAAAAGTAAAACATATGCATTATACATTGACAATTTATAAAATACAGAAAAGTAGAAGGAAAAAGGGAAATTACACATAGTAAGCCACTACTACATTTTGACTTGTTTTATCTATACATAGTTTTACTTTTTCATTTTATGTTATTGTGTACATTTTCAGTGAACAATTTTATGTTATTTACTACTCTCTAATACCTGATGTTTAATGACCACATAACAGTCCATCCACTATATGGTCATACTTTATTTGACCATACCTTTATTTTTGGAAATTCAGGTTCTTTTCAAGTTCTCCTATTATAATGAATATCTTTGCTTTCTGTTATAATGAGTATAATGGTTTTCTACACTTTGAGTTATCTTATTAGTATCTGCTATGGTCTAAATGTTTGTGCCCATTCCCCCAACCCCACCCCAATTCCTATGTTGAAAACCTAACCCTCAAGGTGATGGTGTTAGGAGGTAGGGCCTTTGGCAGGTAATTAGGTCATGAAGGTAGAGCCCTCATAAATGGGATTATAAAAGAGACTCCAGAGAACTCCCTTGTCCCATCTACCATGTGAAGACAGAGCAAGAAGGCACCATCTACCAACCAGGAAGCAGGCACCAGACACCAAATCTGCCTGCACCTTGATCTTAGACACCCAGCCTCCAGAACTGTGAGGAGTAAACTTCTGTTGTTCCTAAGCTACTCAGTGAACGGTATTTTGTTATAGCAGCCTGAGTGGACTAAAATGGTACAATTCCCAAAAGTGGGATAACTGGGTCAATAGTAAATATATTTTTTAGAATTTTGTTGTAAATTTCCTAATTGCATTCCAAAAGATTGAAATTTTATCCCCCCAACAAAATCTGGGCCTTCCAGCAGTGTCTTTCACATTGCACTAATTTCTTTTCTTAGAGTTAAAAAAAATAAGGTTTGCTAATTCATCAAACAAAAAGTGACATATTGTTTGAAATTGCTTTCTAAGCAAGATTAAACATCATTTTTTATATTTGTTAGTTAGCTCCCCTCCACCCCTCTTTAGTGAACTGTTTATGTCTTCTCGTCACTTATCTGTTGAGGACCTTAGTGTTTTTCTTATCAACTTGTATTAGCTCTTTATACATTTAATGTTAACTCTTTTGTTGTTATTTTATATAGCTTGTTAAACAATTCCTTTTAAATTTGTTTTGGAACTAAAGAAACTTAGAATGTTTATATAATCAAAACATATTCATCTTTTCTTCTGTAATTTTTCTCCTATCTCCAAAAACTTTTCATTAACATTTTAATCAACCTACTATCTACATAGATTTAAAACTAAGTCAAATTATACAGAAGGGCTTATAATAAAAAACAACAATCCAAGCTCCATCTCTCCTAGTTTCACTCCTGAGAGCCAACAATTTTTAACCATATCTTTTTTTCAGATAGTTGAACAACAATCTTATTTATAAAGATATGTGTTACTGAATTTTATTGTCTTATCAGTTTTAAACATACCTGTTGGTAGATAGGGATTTCGGCTATGATAGGGAAGGATTTAACTCACTTTATAATACTCTCCCTAATATACCTCACCACATACAGTTCTATCAGTATTCTCAGTTCCTCCATCTATCAGATCTGCATCTTTATATACCATATTTAAAAACTTGCATTTCTTCTGTGGAGTATACTAACATTTATAAAGCAAATGTATTTCACAGGGCCTAACTTTTTAAAATTACACATAGAAATGTTAAGCTTGCGAAAGACAGAAAACTTTCCCCAGGCTAAAGTCTCTGTTGTAGATAAAGAATTGTAACACAGCAAAATTGCTGGCTCTAAGGGCATATGTCCTTGGTGCAGTGAAACCTAATGATTGTTACCATGACAATTATCTTACTGTTCTTTTTGTAACCACGTACGTTCCTTTTCTGTAACTTTCTGGCCTGGAGAATAAATACTGAGAGAGAACCCTAGTTCAGTGTTATTTCCCAAGGAATGCTTTTCCCTTGAGGGTTCCTGGGAATTAACCCCTTCAGGGACTCTCACTGCTCAGAAGAAATGGGCTTTGAGTAATCCTTTGCATCTCTGTCACCCAGGGAGAGGTGACATTCTTCTCCATCAACAACACATAATCACATTGACTCTCCATCTTCATCTCCTAAACTTTGTTATTAGAGGTCTTCTTTTCATGTCAAAGTTGATTATATTGTTTTGTATTTTTAGTCATGATTTTGCCAAAGATTGATTTAAAATGTGGAAAATTAATAATCACTCACTATAGAACCTAGAAGTTGGCTGTGATTTTACAAGGGTACTTCAAAAAGTTCACAGATTCATATTTTTAAATTCTGTTTTTCCACGAATTTTTTGAAGTATCCTCGTACTTTTTTTTCTTAAGAATTTTTTTTTTGGAAATGTATTGATTATACATATTTGTGGGTTACAGAGTTGAATATCAATATGTTTATATAATGTGTGATGATCAAATCAGGGTAATTATCATATTCATTGCAAAACTTAATCATTTCTTTGTGATGAGGACATTCGATCTCCTCTCTTCTAGCCATTTGATAACACTCAGTAAAATATTGTTAATTAGAGCTGCCTAGCTCCACTAAACATCCACAGAACTTCTTTTTCCTGTCTAGCTGCTATGTTTCCATTGATACCTATCCCAGCAAAGAAGTACGTTTCTAGGATCAAGTTCAAGCTGAACTCTGCTTGTTCACACTCCACATCTAACTTAGGTTTATATCTGGCAGTAGCAAAGGCTGATGCAATTGGTCTATACAAGATAAAGCCTGCCATTTAGTGAGGGTATCTGTGTCTACTAGGATGGAAGGTGACATGTCCAATGTGCGGCCTCTCACACTGTCTGTATTATGTTTGAATAGCAAGCAGAGGCTGCAGCACTTGGGTGTTCTTGGGAATCCAAAACCAGATCTCCTGGAAAGCCCCTATACTGCTGAGCACACACACTTTCCTATCACTAGGACCTGAGCTTCCTATCGCCCATAGCCAGGGTTAGGTGGCACCAATATTCCCAGGCAGAAATAGTCTGGGAAGGGGCAATCTCTCTGCACCCAGGGGTTCTGCTTCCAAGTGTTGGTTACTTGTTATCAACTGGTAGAAAAGTCTAATTGCTTGCCTAAAGGAGGAGGTCCATCTTACCATCTCGGGCTGAGTTCTTTTTGTTGGAAAACAGCTTTTAGAATCCCCTCAAAGACTGCTAGGCCCCCTTTGGCACTCACACTGCCAGGAGACCTTGTTTCCCAATCTCTTGCTCCCACAGAAGGTAAGTGAGCTTGTCCAAGAAGAAGCACTTGCTAGAAAAGTGTAAACTGAAACCAGTATTGCCAACATCTGGATTTTCCAGTGAATGAACAAGTCTTTCTTCTACCTCTTGCAGTGGAAAAGTGCTATTATTAACTCATGCATGGGATCTTCTCTTGAGATTTATATCTAGACTAAGTCTTTTTCCCCTAAATGTAGCCTTAGATGCATTTATGTTTTATGGGCTAGATCTTTAATTGCAAATGATAGAAACATAAAGATGTTCTTCCTTCTTTTAGTGAAAAACATAATAATCCAGTGTTATATACGTATAGTATATACACACACTCACAAATCCACACACGCACGCACCCACACACACACACACCATGAGGGTACCTCAAAAAGTCATGGAAAAATAGAATTAAAAGATAATACAATTTTCCACGAACTTTTTGAAGACCCCTCTTATAGTATATAAATACAGTATGTTAAAGGAAACACAAAATGAAAATGACAAAAATGTCACTGAATTTTTAATACATATTGTATTAGTTTGCTAGGGCTGCTGTAACAAAGTACCATGAACTGAGTGGCTTAAACAACAGAAATTCATTGCCTCACAGTTCTGGAAGCTGGAAATCCTAAATCAAGGTATCAGCAGCGTTGGTTCCTTGGGGGCTGTGAGGGAAAATTGTTCCAAGCCTCTCCCCTAGCTTCTGGAGGTTTAGAATTAGGGGCCCACACTACTTCGGTGTGACATTATCTTAATTAATTATCCCTGCAACGATCCTTTTCCAAATAAAGTCATATTTTGAGGTACCGAGGGTTAGGATTCCATATTAATTTGGGGGGTTGGAGCGGCAGTAGAGGGAGACATAGTTCAACCCATAGACATATGTTTTGGTTCCTTATTTTTGGAAAAAAAATACGTCCGCATTTAAAACACACACCACAAAAAGGATCACAGAGCAAGTTCTGCCTTTCAACAGTTACTCTTCCTTTGCACCAAAGTATTAAATGAATATGCTCTGAAAGCCAGAAGGAAGAAAGTGGTGGAGTTGAAAGACATGTGTATTATCACATGTAAAGTGGCAGACTTGAGTGACAGGCCTGACCCTTTCACCATGGGAACAGATGACTCCAGCCCACTGCAGCCTATTAGGCATTTTGTTTTCTCTTCCTCACTGTATTCCCATCAGCCTACCTTACTTTACTAAAAATCCAGAGCTCAGACAAATCCTCAGAGAGCTACAGTTTCAACATTGTTACAGAAAGCTAATTAGCTAATTATAATGCTAGAGTCTACAGTATCACAACAATAAAACTGAGAAATGAAGGAAAGGATTGCTCATCTTTTAAACTGCCATTCTCATTATGACACATCACCCTTATAAAATATCCCTTTGCTGCAGTGGACTTTTAAAAAACTTTTACAGTATCACAACAATAAAACTGAGAAATGAAGGAAAGGATTGCTCATCTTTTAAACTGCCATCCTCATTATGACACATCACCCTTATAAAATATCCCTTTGCTGCAGTGGACTTTTAAAAAAACTTTTTAAAATTATGTTAATATTTCAAAAATGATGAAAATGTTCACTGTTCAAAATATGGAGGAAGAATGAAAAAATAAATAAAAATTGGCCACCGTCCCTCACTAGAAAATAATAATATACTATTTTTGGTATACATCTTTTCAATGTTTTTCCTATTTTTATTGAATATTTTATCAAATTCTCATGGATTTTTAATAGTTTTTTAGTATATATGAATAAAATACATATCTTGTGCAGACACTGTAGATGTAACAGAAAAAAGATAAAGAAGAAAATTTAAATAACTGGTAATTCTAGAGGAATAGCCACTGTTAACATTTTGGTGTACTTTCTTTTGGTCACATTTCTTATCTTTATGTGGCCAAGCATTGGGACACCCCAGAGAGACTGCCATACCCACAGACCCCTCCTTTAAGAGTCCTTTACTTGGTTCTCTGTCACTGGTCTGGAAGATTAGCCAACCCAGAAGATTGGCTAAAGAATGGAGGCCTGACATAGGGGCAGCCAATCTATTGACCAGCCTGTCACCTATGAGCCCTGGAGCTGTCTACCCAAAAGGGGAACCCTGTGGCAGGTGGTGATTGACCAAACCAGTCAGATCTTTGCTTGGGAAGATCATATTCAAAACCTACGGAGACGTAGTCAATTGTAGTGGCAGAAGCAACTGAAAGGGAAACAGAACGTAGTAGAAGGCCCACAAAAGCAAAGCACTAAAATCAGTGGTGAAGGGTGTGTTGTGGTCTACACAGGGTCCTCAACCTACGCATATTCAGCTTTTGAACTACATATTAACATATTAAACACTGGGACCCTGAAATGGCCTTTTATATGTTGGACATCAGTTGGTAAACATGTTGAAATATGAGTGCTCTTCTAAAAGTTCATGGAAAGATTTGTATTATATGTTATTCAACTTTCCCACAAACTTTTTGAAGTATCCTCATATAGTATTGTACTAATCAGAGATGTTGGTTGCAAATTGCAGACACCAACTCTGGCTAATTTGAATATTAAAAAGGGAGTCATTAGAAGGCTATTGGATAGTTTGTAGAATTAATGGAAACTAGAGGGCCGGCCCGGTGGCGCACTGCTACAGTGCACCGCTTGGGAAGTGCGACGGCGCTCCCGCCGAGGGTTCGGATCCCACATACAGACCGGCCGCTCACTGGCTGAGCAAGGAGCGGGGGCAACGCCGAGGGTTGCGATCCTGTTGCCGGTCCCGGTCCAGTACGGGCGCGACACTGAGGGTTGCGATCCATTGCCACTCACGAAAAAAGACAAAAAAAAAAAAAAAAGAAAGAAACTAGAGAACCAGGTTTAAAAACTGGGCAGGAACCAAGGTTAGCTAGGAGCCAAGAACACAGCTGTGTCGCAATACAAGAAGGGACTGGTAGAACATCATTGCCTGAGCTATCGCAATGGATGCTTGGGCCAATTCTTGGGATTTTGGTTTTTCTGACATTGATAACTTGAATAATCTCTAACTTCCTTCACCTTTGTGTCACTCTCTCAAGATTCAAAGTCCCAGATAGAAGTTTTCAACTGTGTGAGCCTAGGTTATATATGCCAGTGCCCTCCCTAGAGGTCAGGGGCTACTCCCTTCAAATTCCATAGTGGGAGGTGGGGTCCTGCTTCCCAGTTGTAGGATTTCTCTAAAACCTAGGAATGATTTTAACTAGCCACCAGAAAATAACCAATTCCATCCAACAAAACTCCTCAACTCACCTCTTTTCAGGATATGGTCCAAAGGGAGGTTTAAAATAATCTTCACAAAGCTCAAAATTTTTCTGTAGTTCTTCGAAAGCTGTAAAATAGTTTAAGTCATTGATGATGGGCGCTGGTACTGGACCCCTGAAATTGGAAATTAAAAAAAAAAATCCAAAGGATTTTGTAATTGATAAGAAGCATACACACATATAATACCTAAATACTGACCATTATATTCCACATAAATGCAAATGCCAATAAGATTTATTTGAAATCATGTATCCACTCAAAAACACTCACCTTAGAGCTTGTTTTAGTCAGTGGCGTCATTACATTGTAGTTTGAAGATAAGCAAATTTGCATTATTGTGAATATTCCTTATTCATTAGAATCGGCAAATTATCTGCCTTGTGACTTGTATGTATTCTACTGTAGATCCTAGTCCATTTGTTAGGCAAGGTCTAGCAATATATCAACTACTATAAAAATAGAAACAGATGTTTTCCCATTTTGTTTATAATCTAGTGGCTTGAAATGGTACCTGGGTAAAATATTGCTATAAATTCTAATATACTCTCAGCTAAACTCTAGTATAAAATATTCTCTTTTAAAATCTATTCATCTATACATACACACAGACACGTGCTAGCTTGTCTCCTCAGAGTGACTTGAAAGGTGTAGAATCGTTAACCATTTTTGGTGAATATACCCCGCTGCTATTCCCCTCAGACTTTTAGAGCTGCTATCTGCAAAGCAGCCCAGCTGCACATAAATGCAAGCAGACTCAAAGCACCTACTTGCCCTTGTGATCTTCTTTTGGAGATCATATTTAAAACTACTTAGTTTCTCTGTCCATGGTGATTGAATAGGCATGGCACTCTGCTGGTGAGTGGTCACCCACAACCCAGCTGCAGCAGCTCTGGGGGACAATGTCTATCTCCTGATCACTACCCTCCCAACACCCCAATAAAACTTTGCCTATACCATGCAGATTGTCTTTTGAAACAGACTATCCAAAGATAGCCCACCGACATGGAGAAAACTAATCACAATTTTTTGATATGGTACCAGACAAATAGACAAAAAACTTAAGTTTGATTTATGTTGATTAAAGATTCTCCACAGATAGCTTAAAATGACAGATAATAAAAACAACTAAAATTGAAAAAAATATTAAATGGCTTCTTACATTTTGCTTCCTTGAATTATTGAATTTTGAACTTTACTAAAAAGTGCTTTAAAATGCTGTAATTAAGATTTTGTCAGTGCTTTTAGAAACTTTCTGAAAACAGAAGCAGACTTCTGCATTTTATTATTTAAGTATTCTAAAAGGTCAAATGGAAAGGAGAATTCCAAACACTGAAACCTGTAATATTAATGAGAAAATAACATGCAAACACTCCATAACCATTCTATGATCTGGTTATTCATTTTGAGTAAAACTTAAAGATTAAATGTCTCTCTTCATGTGATTATGATTATTACATTATATCATATATATCATATCATATCATATCATATCATATATAATGATTACTATGGCCACTAACATCTATGAAGTCCTTATTATATGGCAGGCACTAACTGAAACATTTCATACTAAGAACTACAAATTTATTATAAATATACAATGAGCAATAAATGTGCAATGGTCCCCATCGTCATGGAATTTCCAGTCTAAAAGAGACATTAAACAAATGATCCCACAAATAATTACCATTGTTTTGAGAGTGACAGACACATACCAGGTACTCAACAGGATATAATTAACCTTCAGTCATGAACAGCCTTGGTGAAGGCTGATACTTATATTCAAACACCACCAGAAATATCATGCTTTGCAGTCTGCAAAAGAAATCATCAGTTTCCAGTGCCTTTTTAAAAAATATATAAGTGAAAAGGAAATACAACTTCTAGCATTGGCTTTACTACTGAATCGCTGGGTCTATTTTAGTAGAGGTCTCTGTTTAGGATTCCTATGGTAAATGTAGGCACTAGAAAATCAATCTCAAGTTGCTCAGATATAAATAAATGTGGTAAATTGTTACCTTTGAAATAGGAGTGTGTGATCAGGGGGTATCTTTCCCATTAGGGCTTGCCGGGCTGTCTCATGCTGTTTGTGCATAGATTCTCTTTCCTAGGCAAGAAATACGATCCAAAAGTTATATTAATGTTAAATATATGTCCGATGACTAAAGTAGCTATATTCATTCTCTTCTTACTAGAGATTGACAAACATATGGAAAGAAAAAGGGAAAAAAAGACAGGCATGGAAAACAATGATATTTTCAGCGGAAAGAAAATAACAGACTTTATAAATTAAATCAAAATATTTAATAAAGACTGTAAGTTAATTTATAAACTGTATTTGCCATCTAAATAATAATGTGGTAATTTTTATTAACACTTCATGTTTGAATCTTTAATTTTTCTAATGAGATTATAAAATTCTCAAAGGTAAAGGTTATTATTGCCTTTTTAGTCTTCCCAGATTTTAGTACATAACTGGGTTGTAGCATAGCTTTTGGATCTTCTGGGATCCCCACATAAAAACAGACATAGCAATAGCAAGCAAAGAGCAAAACTAAAAAAAAAACATTTACAACAACACTATAAGACAAGGTATCCCCTCAAACCCTAAAATACAGGTGGGGCTCTAATAGCCACAACAGCTGCATGGTATCAGTGTCTATGCAAGAGGAAGTTGAGGTCAGCAACATGGTGACTGAAACACCAAGAACAGAAGCTGCCAAGATAGCTAAAAAATATTCCCTGGAAATCAAAGCAGAACAACTTGAAAACCAAAGCAGAAACATAGGAGTTGTTCCTACTCTAATAGTGGGTGGGTATAAGAGGTCCATAGTAAGTTCTAAAGGAGCTGGATCAACTGTGAATTCTTGAAGCTGACCCACTGGAGCTCCCTTCTGAGATAGGCCCCACACTAAGAAAAGCTGATAGAAGTGGAACAGAAATTTACTAGGACAGAATCAACAGAGACAAAGAATAGAGAATGTCGACACCAAAGAGACAGAAGGGACAGAGGGGTGTGGAAACAGAGCCAGGAAATCTCAGGAAGGAAGCTGCTATGTATTTTAATGCTATTTGAAGGAAACATGTTTCCTTCTAAAAGTATGAGAAAACTAATTTCACGTAAAAATGAGCAACAGAAAGTACCTGGTCAAATTCCATACAAAGTTATTATAAGGAAAAAGAGAAAAAAAGAGCAGAATAACACCCCTACAGACAATGAAAGCTTGCATATAAAACAGATAAAATCTTTAATTTATTATTTCAAGATAAACTTAAAGATCTTAAGAAAATGACAAAGAACATTAAGGAATAAATAAATCACAATTTAAAAAAACTCATAAATGAGGTGGCAGAACTCAGGGAAGAACTGGAAATGTAAGAAAAAATCACTTCAGAAATGAAAACTACGTCAGAAGAAACACAACAGTGAATAAACACAACAAATAATGGATTAAAAGACAGAAAAAGAGTGAAGGAAATTTTTTTAAATCAAAAAGAAATGAAGAAAGAGGTAAAAAAGGATTCAAGACATAAATGACAAATGTTTAATATAGGCAAAGAAGATGCAACATACAAACAGTAAGAGTCCTTGACAAAAATAAACAAAACAAGGAAGGAAATGGGAAACATTATTAAAAACTATAAATTCAAGTATAAAGTATAACATGTAACAGACTGTTATCAACATACAGGAAATCTTGTTCCCACATCCCTTTGTGTATCTGGGAAAGAATTAGCTTAGACAACAAAACAACTAGAGAGATATTGACCTATGCTGTAGTGATGAGTATTAAATATGTACGTATTTGAGAACTAAGACAAAATGAGAGTAAAAAAGGAGAGAGTATATAATGACTATGTACTCTGATAGCGTAGCTAGAATATAACCACAAATAATGGTGGGAGAACATTTGCAGAAACGTTTTTTAACTGTTTTCAGTTTTCAGTGCTGGTAGTATCAGTGTTGTTATCCCAAAACTGTTCTGTGTGCAATATAGGAAAGAGCAAATGAGTGACTGAATGGCACACTGTAATTCTATCATCATGTATGTCTTCAAGAATCAAGATTCTTGGGCTGGCCCAGTGGCGCACTGGAGTGCGCGCCGCTTGGGAGCACAGTGGTGCTCCCGCCGAGGGTTCAGATCCCATGTGGAGACCGGTTCCCGCTCACTGGCTGAGCGCGGTGTGGGCGCAACACCAAGGGTTGCGATCCCGTTACCGGTCAGTAAAAAAGAAAAAAAAAAGAATCAAGATTCTTAGTGTGAAAAAAAGAAAATTATGTAATAGAGAAGTTAAATAAAAATCCTGAAGTCCTGAACTTGAATTGGAAATATTAACTTGAACTCATGAAATGCTTCATCTATCCACATACACACAAAAAGCCCAGAAACAATGACCACCCCAATACCAATGAACATCCCTAGTAACCACAATGCAGTCATGCACTACCGCCTCTCAAAGAAACCAAGACTTCTCAGAAAAAAGACTGATTCCAGGTCTGGGACAGGTAAAGTACAAGAAAGCATGGAATATTTTGTCATACCAGACAGCAAGATGGCTGTCAAAGACTTCATGGCTCATGTTAAAGGAACACAGGAGGCAACTTGAAGAGGTTCCCACTCGCTAAAGGTAGGATAATTTGAGTTTCAGTAAGGATGAAAAATGCAGTGGGTGACATCCTTCACATATGTTTGAGCCAAGATCCTGATGAAAATAAATGACAATTTAAAAATTAATTGTTCACCGTCAGAGAATAATAGGAAATCAATTAATTATCTTGAAAAAAAGCATTTAGACTGCTGATGCTGTATGAACTGTACCACTTGGCTACCAAGTTAAAAAGTGAAAAAGAGCATCTCTTTATAGAATTATTTCAGCTAATAAATGAAAATAAAACAATAGAATTATAAAATTATCATCTTTCAATCCCGAGCATATTAATGAAACTAGATGTTGAGAAACAAGAGCTACTGACATCACCGAAAGCGAAAACCAGATATCAACTGCCCTTTAATGAAAGAACATAACACCACTTGTTTTGCTAAAGGTACAGACCCTGAGCCTGAACAAACTTCTGGATCCAGCTGCCAATTTGCAGGAAATTTGGGGACAGGGGAACGTGATGAATGGCCCCATAAGCATGCAAGCAGCAAAAACCCAAAAGTGTGGGAAACCCTACAGATCCAATAGAGTTCTTAAAAAGGTAATCTGTAAGGAAAAGAAAGAGATGGATGGGGAACATATAGATTAGAAATTGCTTAAAAGATATACCATAAAAAAACAGACAAGGCCAAACTAGAATCTACATGTACACACCTTCACTATAAAACCAAAAAGGAGTAAGAAATATAAGGAACTGATTATGATAAAAATCAGGGTGGTGGTTACCTTCAGAGGGACAGAGAAGAGGGTGTGCCACACAGAGGTGCTTCTGGAGTGACTGGCAAAGTTCCATGTCTCAACCCAGGAACGGTTACAAGGGTGTTTGCCTTATAATGAACTATACATTTGTTTTATGTCATTTTTATTTTATGATATTTTATTTTTTTATTTTTTATTATTATTATTTTTTTCCTTTTTGTCTTTTTTTCGTGACCGGCAACGGATCGCAACCCTCAGTGTCGCGCCCATACCAGACCAGGACCGGCCACGGGATCGCAACCCTCGGCGTTGCTCCCGCCCCTCGCTCAGCCAGTGAGCGGCCGGTCTGTATGTGGGATCCGAACCCTCGGCGGGAGCGCCACCATGCTTCCCAAGCGGCGCACTATAGCAGTGCGCCACCGGGCCGGCCCTATTTTATGATATTTTAAAAGGTTAAGAGAATAAATTGTATCATGATAACATAGAACTTGAATAATACATGGGGCAGAAGATTGGAACTTAAGGAAAAATGAGAATGTCACTGTGCTTCTTATCTATAAATATCTTATTATTGAAAATATGCAATATCTTACTATGCTCATAACATTTGCCCTAGCATTGCCTTGTTTTAGTGGATAAAAATATAATAATAACACTTACTGAGCACTTCTTATATGCCAGGAAGTTTACATCAATTAACTCCTTTAAACTTTTTTTTTTTTTCCCCTGACCGGTAAGGGGATCGCAACCCTCGGCATGGTGTGGTCAGCACCACGCTCAGCCAATGAGTGCACCAGCCATCCCTATATAGGATCCAAACCCGCGGCCTCGGCGCTACCAGCACCACACTCTCCCGAGTGAGCCACGGAGCCGGCCTTATTCCTGTAATCTTTTTAGCAGCCTAGGACTTGATCACTATTATTATCTCTACAGATAAGAAAACTAAAACTCAGAGAAGATATGTGACTTCCCCAAGTGACAGTGCTCTAAACTCTAATGCCTTCTATTCCTTCATTCATTCGAGTATTAACTGAACACCTACTATGTGCCTTGCATTGTACTAGGTATCATGGGATAACAAAGATTCTTGCCTTTGGAGAGTTTATACTCTAACAGGGGGAGACCAACAAAAAATAAAATAAATAAGTAAATAATCTAATATGTTAGAGGGTGATATGAGTTTTAGGAAAAAAAAAAGAAAAGAAAAAGTAGAGCAGGGAAAACAGAGTAGGGAGGACGAAGGCAGGGCACAGAACAGGAGATGCAGGTTGTGTTACTAATTAGGGTGTCAGGGCAGACAGCATTGAGGTGATGAAATCTGAGTCAAGATTTGAAGAAGTCAGGGAGTTAGCCCTGTGACTATCTGGGGGAAGATTGTTCCAGAAAGAATAAACTGTTAGAGGAAGCTGGTTGGCTCAACTGGTTAGAGTGCAGTGTTATAACACCAAGGTCAAGGGTTCAGATCTCCACATGGCAGCTGCCAAAAAAAAAAAAAGGAAGGAAGGAAGTAAAGAGACTGCTAGTGCAATGGTCCTAAGGCTGGAGCGCTGGTGCGTTAGAGGCACAGTAAGTCCACTGGCATCAGTGGAGCTGAGGTAGGGAGAGGCACAACAGGAATGAGATCAGAGACACCAAGGGGACCAGATCCTGCAGGGCTTCGCCGGAAACAGAAGGACACTGAGTGACATGGAAAACAACTGCAGGTATCCAAGCAGAAGGGACACCAACTGTTCCATCTTCTGTGTT